TATCATTTGACTTCCTCCATTATATTTTTCTAATCAAAATTATTTAAAAAAAAACGAACAAACAAAAACAGCCAGACAGTGAAGGCACATGACTGTAATCCCAGTAATCTAGAGGCAGAGATAGATGGATATCTGAGTTTGAGGCCAGTCTAGTCTACAGAGCAAGCTACGGGACTAGACAGAGGAATTTCTGTCTCAAAAATTAATAAAGTTAAGGCACTGGAAAAAGGTGGAAGTGTGGGTAAAATCTAAGAATTTAGACAGGAGAAAAAGAAAGGGCAATGTTAAGTCATAGAGAGTAAGCAAAAGGACACGAGTCATAAAAGGATAAAAAGCTAATTATATTTTCTAGCTTCAACTTCGTCATAGTTTTATTTGGGTTGGTTGATTGGTTGGTTGATTGGTTGGTTGGTTGGTTGGTTGGTTGGTTGATTGGTTGGTTGGTTGGTTGGTTTTAATGGTTGGTATGCGAATTCAGCTTTCTGTAGACCAAAGAAACAATAACCATCGTTGCCTTCCAAAAGGACTGACTATGTTTTTGAGGCAAGAGTTGTGAAAGTTGAACTTTCTTTTTAACTCCATTAAACAATAGCATAACAGGAATTAGATAGGACCAGTCACAATATATTTGTCACACTGATCCAATTAGAAAAAGGGCATTTTTTTAATGTGTTCTTGTGGTAGAAATTTTCCCTTTTATTCTACTGTTCACAACTATATCAATCATTGTGTTACAGTGTTATTGAATATGTAAATTGTAGTTATATTAAATATAGTTGAAAATAAGAAGCATCATTTTTTAGAGACATTGACTAGGGGAAGAACATCTATAAAGAAATCTATGTTAGGTCTAAATTTCAGCCAGCAGAGTATTCATCTTCCTCTTCAGAGCACTCAGGCTCCAGGAGGTAGTGAGAAAAGGGCAACGTTAACAGGAATTCTGCATGTACTTATTATCTGAACTTCGAAAAGTCCATTCAAAGTCAAAGTCTTGGGTACACTGCTCAAATAAAACCGCATTTGTTTTCAAGGCAAATTTGTAAATCAACTCAGATTTTTTTAAATGGACATTTTACTAAACCAGAATGCCTGAGCACTTACACATTGATGGTATAACATTATATATTCTAAAAGTATAATAACACTCAATATTAAAAAATAAATCTTGTCTTTTCTAGGTGTTAATATGCTAAGCAATAAACCAATGAATATACTATATACTTTTCTGGGTCATAAAAGAAGTAATTGATAAATACCACCCACCTAGTAAGTGCAGTTACACTATCAACTTATAAAGCTTAAAATAATATCTGCTTTCCATTACTGTAATTAGATAATATTTCCTTCTAAAAAAAACTACCTCTTAAAATAGTTTGAGGTGCTGTGCAATATTTTCAATCAAGAAACTATTAAGAGTATCCAATATATACATACAAACTTGATGTTCACCTCTAACTGGATGGATGGATGCACCTACCCTTGCCTAAGCAGTGGTATGTTACCTAATGCAACAGTCCTAAGAAAAAGGATAGAAGACATGCTGAGCCAGAAGACTCGCCCTACACCAAAATCATGCTGCACCATCTACATCAAGTCACTTCATGCCTTATTATCCTTAACTATGAATCAGGGATAATAGTGTGTATCATTATTAATACCTACCTAAAATAATTACTGTAATGTTTCAACATTCTTACCCAGAGGAAAATATCTCAAAACATAAGATCATGCTCATTGATCTTTCAAAAAAAAAAAAAAAGAACAATAAAGAAATGTTAATTTCCCTTTGTAACTTTTTAAATCACATTTACTTGTTTGTGTGTTTGTTTGTTTGGGGGGAGGGTGTGCATGTGGCGCACACACACAACACACACACCAAACTATATCCAACAATGATCATATAGAGGTCAGTAGACGGGAGCTGGTCCTCTCTGCACTATGAGGGTTCCAATAATAAACTCTAAAAAGTTTATAATTACAAGATAATTACATACCAACACATCTCACATTGCTCAGCAACCATTTACTATTAAAACTCATATATCTCATGATAGTATTTTATAATATACAATTTTCAATATGTATAAATAGAACAGATAATGTGATGATTATTTTTAATTATCAGCTTGACACAATCTAGAATTACCTGGGGAAAGATGTTCAATAAGAGACTATCTAGATCAGGTTGGCCTACAGGCATCTCTGTAAGGGACTATTTTGATTATATTAGCTGATGTGGGACAATCTAGCCTAAAAGTGGGCAGCACCATTTTGTGGGTTTGGGTCCTTGATTATATATTAGAGTGGACAAAGCAAGGTGAATAACAAGCATGCATGCACTTATCCCTCCCTGCTTTTGATGGCAGATGTAATGAGATTAGCTGTTTTAAGTTCCTGCTGCCTTCACTTCCCTGTTATGGTAAGACTACAACCTGGAATTGTAACCTAAAATAAGCCCTTTCTCCTATAAGTTATTTTCATTGAGATATTTTATCTCAGCAACAAAAATAAAGCTGAGATACATAAAAACACATATTTCTCAAGTATTTGATTCTGTTCTTCTATTAAAGTATAAACTAAGAATTGATTCTACATAAACTACATTTAATTTAAATCAAACTTACAACAATTACCCTTAAATGACCACATACAAATCTAGCATTGTCTTTTGCTTTTAGTGCTAACCCTATGAAAAAGTACAAGAAGGCCTCTTTTATTTTCCTTTGTCAGCAGACACACAGAGCCATTTTCAGTCATGAAAATCCACAGTGATTTTAAAACTAAAGAACATAAGAAGAAAACAGATACAATTTACTAGATATAACTTTTTTTCTTATACAGGCATTTTCATTCCTCACCGAAAGAAAGAGAGAAAGAGAGAAAGAGAGAAAGAGAGAAAGAGAGAAAGAGAGAAAGAGAGAAAGAGAGA